TTCAAGGACGGCACTTTCCGGGTCGTGCCAAAGCTGTTCCTGCAGCTCTACACGCTGCACGCATTTTATCATGGCGAAATGATCCCGATGGCATACTTCCTTCTTCCAAACAAGCAGAAAGAGACATATAGTCGAATGTTCTCCCTGCTGACGGGTTATGCCCAGTCGACCGGGTTTCCAGCTGGACTTCGAAGTCTCAATGCTGAGATCCATAGCGGAGCTCTTCCCCTCAAGCAACGTGAAAGGTTGCGCCTTCCACTTCTCTCAGTGCCTTTGGCGGAAAGTTCAAGACTTAGGTATCTGTCGATACTATGACGACCCTCTCGTGAAAAAATTCATACGATGCGCTGGTGCCTTGGCTCTGGTGCCCTTGTCGCAGATCGACAGCGCTTGGCTGGAAATTGACGGCGAGTCGCCTCCGAGCGATCACCCAGCCTACTCTGCTCTGGAGGACTCCAAAAAATACTTCATTAACACATGGCTCGAAAACGGAGCGGTCTTTCCGCGCTATCTGTGGAACCATTTCGGTAACTTCGGTACTCGCACCACAAATCACCTCGAAGGCTGGCACCAGGCCTTGAACCGCGGTCTCGGTCGGGCTCATGTCAATATATTCGAGATGGTCAGCCATTTGCAAAAGATCGAGAAAGACTTCAAGACGCAGATGCTATTTCTAAGTATGGGAAGAGCGCCGAAACCGGCGAAGAAAAAATACGTGAAGGCGAACGAGCGTCTGATGCGCCTAGTCACCCAGTTCGAGTCGAATCAAATTACGCTGATCGAGTACGTCCAGAAAGTGGGCTTCAATCTCAAATCTTGATGTGCTCGCTTGTCGTGATCCATGATACGTATAAGGTTCGATACGTACATGTCATAGTCATCCCTCTTAAGTTCATTACCTCTTGGTTCAAATACGCAATAATATAAGCATTGTCAACTAATAAACTTGTGATAAAGTCGTCGCTAACGCTGACAGCGACAATTCCTCGTCTTCCATCAGAACTCACATCGCCGAATGGATGTGTAGAGCACAGCAACAGAAGGTTCTTGGGTTTAGCGTCTAGCGGAATTCCCCAGCGAACCTGGGAGGAGCCTGATTCGGTCAAACGGCTTCGGTGAAGCGGCTTCGGTGAAGCGGATTCGGTCATGCGGATTCGGTCAAGCGGATTCGGTTATGCGGTTTCGGCCAAGCGGATTCGGTCATAAGGATTCGGTCATACGGGTAGTCCCCAATGCGAGGGGCGATTCACGAGGAAGAACGCTACTATAGATTATTTCATATGCAATGACGAGGTATTGAGAACTTGTCAAAGGATGGGAGTAGATGAAAAACGGGAAATGTCACGAATAAGTGACCACGACCTCGTAAGGATCACCTGTCGGGTACCTGGGAAAAGGAAAGGACAGGAGAAGGGACGGATTACAATAATGAACGCCTTGGAAGCAGCGAATAAAACTTATCGCATGATTCGGGAAATTAAGAAGCAACAGGGCACCGTATATTATAATGATATCAAGCAGGCGATCCGAACGGGTATACAGAAGGCGTCGAAAGATATCAAGCCGAAAACGGAGAACATAAACACCTCGAGGCTGATTCGGGAGATTATAAGAGAGAAGAAGACGGCGAGCCGGAGGTGGAGAGAAGCCAGAAGGCGCGGCAGTCAGAACGAAATAGAACGGACTGAGAGAGAGTTCCGGACTATGCATGTCAGAGCGTGAAGTTGGAAGACGGGAAACGTACTGACTCAAGGAGTATGAGTGATGACTCAGGAGTACAGTCTCGCGAAGGTGAGACACCACAGTGAAGTTTATTGAAGAGAAGTCTCCTTATATACAGGAGACGGGGTGGCAAGAAGGCGGAGCCTTCCCGGCATGCGTACCTACATACATACGCTTTACTAAGATCGAACCCCGCTTTCTTACAAGCGGAAAGAGTCTTATCCTTCTACGGAGCCGGGGTGTAAGCCCGCTTCAGTGACTCATCTCAGAAGCGTCCCAACGCTCTGAGTCATACTTAGCTGCAAGTCTGAGGGCTCACAGTTTTTCGTCTCATCTCGCCTCAACACTCCCTCTAACTGTGAACGTCCGAATGATCTTGGTTTCAGTGACGATGACAGAATTATTCGATCTACCGAGAAGAGCAGTCAGAAAACAAGAACAAGCAAGGTCCCTCGTTCGAATGGAGACATACATCCTGATCTCTGAGTCAAATAAATTATAGAACTACATCGATGAGTGATGATTGTATTCCAAGTTGTCTTCCTCTTCGAATGGTTCGACATTTGGTCGGTATCGCGTGTCGTCGCCGTCGGTCGACGAGAGCGGCCAGATCGCGCATGCGATCCGAGACCGCTCCGGCCGCGAGACCGAGAGCGATCGCGAGAGAGCGCCACAGCACCAGGCATTGGTCTCGCGGGGCGACTCGAGCGCTACGAGTATGGCGATCAGCCGCCTCGGCGGCATGCCCCGGGAGACGAGAAAAGCCTAGAATTTGGGAAATTGTAGTCTCTGTGGAGTGCATTTGGGTGTCAGAATTCCCCTCTCACAGAGAGGTATCAATTTTGCAGAGAAATAGACCGGATGCCGAGTTGTTTTCAACATTTTCCATGGGTTTGAGTCGGGACGAAATTTAAGAGGAGGGAGGGGCTTGGAAAAGAAAAAGTTGAGCATTAAGTCCATTGTTGAACGGCTTTCCGTTTGGAGCGTTAAGTTCATTTCTCGTCGGAAGACGATCGATCGGTACGTGGCCTCCCCGAGGTTAGTTGCTCCACCACTTGTCTTTTACAGTTCTCCATAGAGTTATAAGTATGCACATAATGTACATAAGTATTCCCAGACCGACGATCGAACAATTTGTAGGACATGCAGTTGAGATCCGGACGCTCAGTGAACGATCCCGCAGGACTCACAGTCAGAGAGCGCAGGACCCAGGATCGAGCACCAAACTTTTTCGGGCTGATCCACATAGCCAAGGTTTAACGTCCCGGGTACTGTTATTCACATTGCTTCCGAGGACGGATCCATAGAGCAAATGTACCCAGGAGGATCAAGGCCGAGTACCTGCATTCTTTCCGGCAGCAGGGATCGAAACCACACCGCCTCCCGCGCGAGCGGCGTCGTTGCGGCTATGCACGTTTGCACGAGTCGTGACAAACGCGCTAACCACTCGATTACCCGTCGGTCAGGATCGAGCACCAGCGAGGATGAAGGACGTCGGTTGCCATTCTGGTCCCGACATGGGACCCAACTGGAGCACAGTGGCACTGGGGTACGTGGCCTGGATCGGAGGGTGGGCCATGAGACAGGCGTACCGGAGAGCAGTCGTTTTTCTCGAGGAAAGGAGATCGCATTCTCCGTCCGCTCCAGCCCTCGAGTCGAAGGAGCCGGAGATTGAGTCGCCGGCCGACAGCGCGAAGGCAGAAGATCCGTCGAATTCAGAGAGCGTGATCATCTCGATGGAGGACATTCCGATCGGAGCCGACTCGGAGCAAGCCGTCGAACCAGAACGCCCGGCCGAGGATACCGAAGAAACTTGGTGGAAAATCGTCAAAAGCTGGTGGTGGTTGTCTCTGGTCGCACTGCTGCTCCTTGGAATCGTATCAGGTGAGTAGAAATCCGAGTGATGATCAATTTCGAGTGTCTCAATTTGCAGCTATTGAGTTGAGCAGTGCCCAATACTCATTAAGAGTGGCTATAATGATTGCAGGAGGGGTGTTTCTCCGCATCGGATGGCCTCAGGATAAGGGCATCATTGTGAATGCGAGTGCCTCCGCAGCGGCGCAAAGCACCAGCAGCAGCGGCAGCAGTAGCACCAGCGGCAGCAGCAGCGGGGTCAATCCGAGGGATCCACCGACCGAAGAAGCTCCAGCCAGTCGGGCCGGGATCGAAGCCACTGCCGGGAGCGCCGTCGCGACGAGGGAAATCAGCCTGTTTCCCTATGTATGCGATTACGACGGGAGGATCCAATGTTGGTCTCAGAAGTTGGAGAGGTGCATCATTCTGAGCCGAGAGAGAGTCCTCAAGCCCGACTACGCGCGGGTCCGCAAAAAGGCGTTGTTGCACACACAATGAAAAGAGTCTGATTTAGTCGACTTAATAGACCTAGTCACTGGGGCAACTGTCAAGATTTTGACTCCTGGAGTGCGAGGCCTTGCCGATGGCAGGGAACGGTTAGTTCCTTCTTGGTCCTTGCCTCCACGTGAAGTGATTGTCTCGCGTGCTGCTCGATCCTCTGAAGGAGAGACCTCGCGACTACACCTGACTGACGTCACGGCGTCTTCCAATCTCGACTGCCCCCCAGCTCTATTGGTCACGATCTTTATTGTATACAAGTATTATCTCCACGGATTTCTCCGAACTGTCATTGATCTATAAGTATGGGAGTATCACTTCCGAATAACTTCGCTCTCTTAGGGTCGGTGGTTGACAGACCGAGTGACTGACGTCACCCGCCATCAGCTGTGTGCGACGTCAGGCGTATCGGGAGCGCCGCCTAGCGGCCTCTATCGGAATTGTCCAGCCCCGATCTCTGCCTCCCTGAGGCGCTGACTGGAAGTGTACGTAACACTCTCCCCCGCGAACTCCGCTCACGTAGTGCGCGAGTTGTATATTCCTAGTATAATTGACAGGGGTAATTTTGAATATAGTAACCTCGGGTTATCATTGATATTGATTGGGTAACGCATATCCGCGTACCCGTCTGTAGAGACGATCGAAATTCGTACCTATGTGTCTACTTGACAATGGGATGGCAGGATTCTGCCTCTGAAATGGGGTATTGCATATGCTATTCTCTACGTTCCTGGAAAAAGAAATGGCTACGCCTTGACTCCGCGATCGACACTCTGCTCTCTTGAAATATTTTGTTTCCTTGGCATGTGACGGGAGATCGAAATGATGAAGTGCATTGGAACATGATATGCCGAATGTACCCGGTGCACATTGGGGAATTTGAGCTCGACTTCCTCCTGGAGAGCGAAAAACCCTTCCCCGGCCGGAGGTTCCGGCGAGCAATTTCCTCTGCTAAATGTTCATTCGCGCTTTGCCAGTGCTCAACGACACCTCGATTCCCGACACTCCTTCCTGCCGTAAGTTGTCCCCCTTTTCGTCTATCGACACCCTATTTCCAACTCAATTGCCGCGTCTACGCATGGCGTTCTGTAATCGGCAATTCTTTCGCTCCGTCAGAACCATGAGTGACGCCGAAATTCCGACTACATCCGGAGGAGGCTTCAGCCTCGAATATCTGCTGTCCGCCGCTCTGCGGAGAGGGGTGATTCGCCCCTTGGGCTTCCAGTACTGCCCACATATCATAGATATGGGTCGTTTGAATATCTTCCCGTTGCTGAGCTGGATCATGCACGATCTATGCCTGAGATCCGTCCTTTGTCCTCCAGAGAGGTCCACGATTTTACAGATAGGCCAGAAGCTCCTAGACGGGCTCGGGTCCGCGAGTATGCACCCGTCTCCAACTTCTAGTTGGTGGGTCGCCCTGGGCTTCCTTTCGTGTGCTGATCTCAGCTGCTGAAGATATTCGATCTGGAATCTCTTCCAGAAGCTGTTTAGAATGCTCTGCTGTCTCCTCCACGCTCTCGTGAGGATGATCGAATGGGATTCCTTCGGATCCGATACTTTAATGACTGACGTATCCGGGAACCGTGCCTTGGCATGGTATCCGTATAGCAGGTCCGCAGGGCATAACGCGCGAATGTCGCAATTGTTGGAAGGTAACGGTGAAATCGGCCGTAGGTTGATGCATAGCTCGATCTCCGCTA